TCTCGACGAAATGTGAAAATGAATCCCATACGAGGATTCAGGCTCAAAACAAGGCATTGAGCAATAACTTTCATTAATTGCACAATAGCCCCTCCGAAAAGTGAAAACTGCAAAACTGCTCCAGAATAAAAATATCTTTGATATTTTCTTAGATACCCCTGAAATAAAATATCTTCAAAATATATTTATGAAAAACACCCCAAGAAAAGAAAAAGTTTCCAAATAACTTTGCATCCATGCCTTTATGGACACCGGGAGCAACCAGAGTACCTTCTCACGAAAGTAAAGATACGTATCTCATGAAAACCACTGATAATAAAGATACGTGAAGTCAGAAACCAACTCCGAACACAAGAAGTGTGGTTACACAAACAGAGTGACAAATGAGGAAAAGACGAAATAGGGAAGACAAAAAGTGAATAGTGTCGAAAAACGAAAAATGTGAGAATGATTCGGTCCTCAAAGGAAGTTGTCAATCCACAAAAAAGAGTCTCAGAAATCACTCCAGAGCACTTGAGTCGACGCTAATCGACAAGAAACCAAACTCAGAAGGGAAAAGACAGCGGAAAAAATTTATCCGAAAAATTCGGGTCATTATAGTGTAGTTACGTACTAGATAGTAAGTGTTTGGTCTGTCAGGGACGTGTAGATTATAGTTGAGATTGATTGAAAGATGAACGAGATTCCTCGTTTGGGGTTTAGAGTGTCCTTTGAAGGATGAGTGGAGGTTGGATGTTGTTACGTTTCGGGGTCTTGTAATCGTTTTCCTTTCGGGCTTTGGAGCCTTTCATGGCTGTGTGGAGTAGACTGATGTTCGTTTTGAGTCAGGCATAGAGCCTAGTTGGTCTTATGTTATGATGAGGTGAGAGATGAGTACCCGTATTGGGTTTTAGTGGCAATGGTGTGTAATTGCTTGGTGACGTTCGGTGTCAAAGGCAATAATGTTAGTGAGTTCATGGTTTTGGGGTTTTGTGAAGTGTTCTCGGAAAGTGTGTGGTTGTGGGCCTTCTTCTTAAAGAGGGTAGATTTCGAGGATGAATTTTTTTTTAAGGAGAGTAGATTGTAGTATTTCTATTTTTCATCATTTTTCATTTTTTTTGGAATTTTTGTTGCTGCAAGGGCATTTTCGTTTTTTACCGTTTTACGTATCGGGCACTGCGAAGTGTGCCGATTGTGTTCAAGAATTGTTTGGAGCATTTCATTGAGTTCGGGACTCTTTGAAATGCAATGGTAATTATTTTAGCATTTTTCCGTTTTTCGGGCCGGACAGTCCAGTGTGGGACCCGCTACCGAAATTGTTACATGCGGGGATTTTAATTGGGTCCATTTGCATCACATATATTTTATTTAATGTGTTTTAAATGATTGTGAATTAAATGCATGTGTATAAATATATATGTGTATGGTGTCAAAAAGAAATGAAAATAAAAGAAAAAGAAAATAATTTTTAGGTGGGGCCCACTACCACTTTAAGTGGTCATGAGACCACATTTTGGTCTCTATTCTCTCATCATCTCCCGTTGGTCTCTCTCTCTTCCTCTCAAACTTCCATATTTCTTTTTCTTTCACTTCAAGGCTTTAAACCTTGATTTCTCCCTTTATTCTTGGTATTTTTAAGTGTCGTCTGCGGCAAATTAAAGCTCATGGCAAGATCTACAAGTTGATTGGAGCAATTCGTAGTTTGGTGCACTTGGGAATTTTGAGATCCAGGGCATTTAATTTGGGGTTTTTACATAATCTTGAGGTAGGGGTCTCTAATTCCTAAAGTCTTGTACATTTGTGAATTAATCTTACTTGATTAGTGTCTTAGCATGCTAAATTATGTTGATTGCTTATTAGATTGATTTGATTGTGAACATAAAATATGTAAGTATGTGTATTTAATTGAATTGTATGAAAAAACATGCTTAATTTGTTAATTTTCCATGCCATGGTGTTTATGATATTTTCTTAGAAATTTCTATGAAGAAGCATGTTAAATTGTGAAGCTAAAATTTCCTTCATTTTGATACTATTGGGAAAATATGTAGCATGCATTCATGGCATTGGGCATGAGAGAAAAAGGGAAAGTGTTTTGATATGAAAATGAAAAGGGGTTTTGGGGAGAAATTTTGAGAAATATGGTTTTAAGAAAACCCGGTCGCCGTGGAATCACCAAAGGGCCGGTGTGTTAATGTAACCTAGAGGGAACTAGGGAGATTGCCTTAGCGTGGTTGAGCTATCTGGACCCCAAATGACACCGCGGGGGTACCAAGGGTTAGGGACAGTAGCCAACCTTTCTCTTGTGTCGCTGCGGAGTCACCAAAGGACGGGCTATATTAACAGTTTGTGAAGTGATGGATGTTTTCTAAAAATGGGGAGAGAAATGTATGGCATTGCATTCATGACACGACATTTGCTTGTTTTGAATTTGGAATTGATATTGTATTTTTTCCAGTTTAGCATGACCCCATTCCCTATTGTTCTATTCAATTGTTTAGGTTTACGGGGTCACAAGAGGTGTGTCTTAGGCATCACCTACTGAGCAAATTGCTCACCCCATTTTATTAAACATTTTTCCGGGCCGGGAAAGGAGGTAGTGGACGCCGACCCCTCACAAGCTTAAGAAGGACTAGGGAATTATTTTTGCCATCTTTTGTATAATTACTACACTTTTGTAAAACCACAAAACCATAATGAAATGTATTCTTTTTGTAAGCCATGGCCATGTATTGTAAACATTTCCTTATGTTGGTATTTTGAAGGAAATTATGACTATGTAACCACTTATTGATGAATGGGAATAGAAATCGTATTTTGATCTATTTTTGAGACCATTTGATTGTGTAATACCATATTTTGTTGCTGTGAATTCGGAATTTAATTGCATAACAGGTCAGGTATAGGTTGTGTATGCATTAAGCTTAGCCAGAATGCCATGCTAGTGAGCTCAAGGTTCAGGGGCCTTGTTTCGGTCAGCTGACCCTCACCATCAGCCGACCGGAACTCCAGGTTCGGCCGACCGAACCCCCTCCATCAGCCGACCAATGGTTCTACAGTGAAAGTCCTTAAAGCTTGCATTTTTCCCCATTGTTTCAGCTGGCAGCCGATTGAACTTGCTCTGTCAGCCGACCGATGAAGGGCCATCAGCCGGCTGATCCTTCCTTTTCCACCTGTACCACTTAGACCCCTCTGTTGGGCTATTTTTCTAAAGTATTTTGAGACTAGGATCGGCTAGTAGGACGACCATGGACATAAGAAATGAATGTATGACCTAGTTGACCTCAGGTCAAGGCAAGGACCCGGTTAACGGTTCGGACCTACGGGTTCGGGTCGTTACATTGTTCATTAAGTATACAAGTCTATCTCAACCTCAATTTTCGATCTTGTTTAGTAAATGAGTAGTGTTCAAAAAGTTATGCTCATAAACACGCTCATAAACATAAGCTTATGTGGGTTTCATGAACACATAGGCTTATGTAGGCTTGTACGAGTTCGTGAATGAGTCAAAGTAATCTTAAACACAAGCTTAAATTGGGGCTAAATGACTTTTATTATTAAACGATTTGGGTCCGAACATTTCAAAATAATGATGAGTCAAGTCCGAACTTGTTACGATTTCGAGTTGAATCCAAGTTTAGCACACAAACAATTAAGCTAAGGCTAAATATATTAGAAACTCGGCTTAACTTGATTCGTTTGCCAAAATTCAAACAAAATCAGGACTCTTTTATTTTTTATTTTATTTTATTTTGAGAAAGCCATAGAGACACACACATGCTCCTCATCAACAAAATCAAGATACTTTTTTTTTGTTTTTATTTTAGGGTAAATTACACCGACACTCCCTGAGGTTAGTTTATATTTTAACTACATGAAACTTTTGGTTTTAACTTTCACTCACATCCCAAATTGCTTTTTGAACTATGACACATGTGAATTGACCCATTTACCCTCACTTTTTTTAATACAATTTAATACAAATTTTCTACAAACTAAAATGACAAAAATATCCATATGTAATACTAATATTCCAAATCACTATTTCTCTTTTCTCTTTCTCCTCTCTCTATCCATCTATCTATCTACAAAAAAAAAAAAAAAAAAAAAGGCAGCAGCTGCTACATATCACCATCGTTTCCCCTTCCACTATCATTCAATTCACCATCGCCATCACAGGTTGGTCGGAGGTTCTTATCTCGCCACCGGCGAAACCAGGATGCTTGTTCATCGTGAAAATCAGTGAAAGCAAATCACACACTCCCTCTCCTCGTCAAACTTCCAAAACACCTTCCAAACAATCACCACACCACAGACTACTCAATCATTCAAAGAATAGAAGAAAGTAAGATCATGGGCAGGCAAGAGCGAATCGAGACTGCAAACACCCAAACCCATGTTTGAGAACTGCTCGATTTGGGAACCGATTACGGCGTTGGTTATTGGCGGTGACGAGCTGTAGACTTGGTTTGGGAATGTACAATGAGATGGGTTGGCTTTTTGTTGTGTTTTACAGCTTTGGGTTTTGTTTTGGGTGGGAGCTGTGGTGATACAGGTGTTGGGTGGAGCTGTGGTGATACAGGTGTTGGGTGGAGCAGTGGTGGCAGTGGCGGGCGGCGGCGGCGGTGATGAAGGTGTAGGGTGGGGCAATGGTGGCGATGAAGGTGTAGGGTTGGGCAGTGGCGATGTGTAGTGGTTATAGAGTTATATGTTGAGGTAGTTTTGTCAAAAAAATATTCAAACCACCATTTCCAAGTTAACAATAGGTCAAATGAATAACATAGCCATTCAAAGCCTCAGAAATACTCTGACCCCACAAAAAAATGATATTTTTTTAATATATGTGTAAGTGAAGTAATAAACCACTCTTTCAAATATGAATGAAAATTAAAATTAAAACATTTATATAAATAATATATGACCCAACCTTGCGAAGTATCTCTGTAATTTACCCTTTATTTTAAGATAGTCATAAAGACACACACCTGCTCGTACTACATTACAAAGGAGGGTAACACTGACAATTCCACGAAGGAAATGCAGAGGAAATGAAATTTGAAAGGAAAAGACAAAACCAGCTGTGGGTGGAATGTACACGATCTCAAGTACAGATTTTGACTGCATCCCAAACACTTCCTTATGCCAACCACCGTAACCCGTCAAACCGCTTTGACGGGCCCGGTTCTATGATATTTCTCGCTCCGTCTTCTCTCTCTATCCCTTTCGCTGGAGCCATTAAATCTGGTTCAGATCTCTCTCTTTCTCTCTCTATCCATATATGTATACATATTTACATAATCATATATGATGTGTTGTGTTCGTACATGTCCGTATCTAAAAGTTGATTTTCATAGAGTTAGGTTTTTCATCAACTGTTATTCGTCAATTTCATCAGCAAAACTTTTCTCTCTTAGTGATGTCAATCACTGTTTGATTCATAATCTACAATCGATCACCGTATCACAATTTTAATGGAGATTGATTTGCGCGTTGGATGTCTAGGCTTGAGTGTCTGTAACTTTTTTTCTTTTTTAAATTCTAAAATTGTCCACTTCTGTTCTTAGGGTTTCTGTTAGGGTTTTTTTCTGGTACTGAGATGGTGGTGTCTGAGAGATCTTCGCCAACTCCACCACAACCGGCCGCAGCGAAGGAGTATGGTGTGACAAAGCCAATATCTCTTGCTGGGCCAACTGAGGCGGATCTTCACCGAAATGCCGAACTGAAAAAGGTAGATATTTCTTCATTTTTTCGGGAATAAGCTAGTATTTCTTATGCAAAGCTATGATTTTTCTGACTATTTTAATTTTCTGGAAGTTTTTGATCAAGTCTATGCTTTATGAGAGCAAGGAAGACTCTAAGAGCAGAGAAGATGTTATGCAGCGTATTGATCAGGTAATTGACTTGTTTGGTTGTTTGAGAAGTAGAAATGAAAGTGTATAAACCTTAATTTTACATTTATAGGTGAAAGTGTACTAATATACACATATGCATGTCGTGCTTTTGATGATTCATGTTGAAGAATTTTCGTAGTTTTGGTACAAGAATTGCTTGAAAGCAGTACACTTGGGGAAATTGTCATGGACATTGAAAGCATTGTAGTTTGGGTATAGCGTATTGCACACACACATACAGACCTTAATAAAACGTGAACTATGGAGGAAAGAAGAATATAGTATTGGCATTTTTTGGTGATCATCAAGGGAGAGTTTGTCATGGTAGAGACGCGGTCGGAGTCTACTGCTCCGTCCAGTCACCGGAGTCATTAACTCCGGTGAAATCCTCTGCTATTTTTCTTTCGCTTTTCGCTCTCTCTGTTGGGTCTGTGGTTCGTGGTTGGTGTGTATTGCTGGTCTGGTTTGGTTTTTCTTCTCTGTCATGCTGTTCGTGGTTTGGTTTGGTTTGATGATCATGTTGTGCCTCTTAAACATGATCATCAAAGGGAGAGTTTGTCATGGTAGAGACGCGGTCGGAGTCTACTGCTCCGTCCAGTCATCGGAGTCATTAACTCCGGTGAAATCCTCTGCTATTTTTCTTTCGCTTTTCGCTCTCTCTGTTGGGTCTGTGGTTCGTGGTTGGTGTGTATTGCTAGTCTGGTTTGGTTTTCTTCTCTGTCATGCGCTCGTTCTTGGAGGTTGCTAGATTGCCTCGCTTGTTCCAAGGTGGATCTGCTAGATTTGCAAATCCGTATAGAGGCCCATCTATTTTCTTGGATGATGATTCGGTACGAAGAAGAAGAGAAGACCTTCGGTCGTGTCTGGTTGGAAAATTTGATAAGGAAGTGGGTGATGGGGCTCAAATTGCTGCCTGGGCTTCGCGTGTTTGGAAGGTCTCCTCTGGTGTGATGGTCTCGTCTCTGCCGGATTCTTTATTGCTTTTCCGGTTTCCTTCCTCGACGGAAGCTTCTCGAGTTCTCAAGAGGGGTCGCCGTGACTGGGGAACGGCTTCTCTCTCTCTGGAAGCTTGGAATTTTAGGGTAGGGTGCTCGGAGGTGTTGAAAGAGCAGGGTCTGAAAAAGGTGACGCTGTACGGTCTTCCTCTCCACCTTTGGAGCCATGCTCTGTTTGTGACAGTTGGTGATCTTTGTGGTGGGTTCATTTGGGTGGATGTCGATGAAGCTTTGGATGCTGAAAGCGTCCGAATCACTGTCTCTGATGGGAAGGTTTGTCCTCCGTTTGTGTTCATTCATGATGACCAGTTCTGCTATAAAGTGTTTGTTTGGGAGGAGAAGCATCCTGAGCTTGTTCCGACGACTGATAGCCTGGAAGGCGGGGATGGTTCGCACTTGCTTAAGGAGAAAGTATGGTTGCGGTGGGAATCCATGGGGAAAAAAGGTATGGCTGAGTTCCAGGCATGGAAGGAATGGAGTGAAGACTTATGGATTCGCAATTCAGAGTGTTTTAGAAGGATTTATAATCAGAATCGCAAGGATGGGCTTTCCTTTTTGTCGGATCGCTGATGGCAGGAAGCGTCTCGGAAGTTGCAGTGGGGTGGAGGTCTCGCCGGAAATAGTCGTAGACCTTTTGCGCAGCAGCGAGATCAAACAAGACGACGAGGTGGCTTCCACGCTCAGCAGGCGCGTGGGAGGGGGAGGGTTTTAGCTTTTCCACGTGGTTGGCGCTCAGGCTTTGCCCATTCCCAATGGAGAACAACTGTTCCCACGATCTATTCAAATTCGGCTCCCCACTCAGATGGGCTTTATGGTGGTCTTGAGAATGGGGCCCTTGTTTCTAATAATGTTTTGCCTGGGTCTGTTGGCCGCTTGTTGGGCCTAATAGGCCTACTGCTAAAAGGCCTCTGTCAGATTCTTTGGAATTGGATTGTGGTGAGCAAGTCTCTTGTGAGGTGGTTGGTGGGCCGAGCGCCCATTCTTCTAGAGATGATTCTGTTGGTGGACTTTCGGGGTTGAAGAGTGGGCCGAGTTGTGGATCTGGGTTTCTGTGTAATAGGTTTGAGCCCTTGGTATCAATGAGTGATGACAGAGATTCCTGTGCTGCCGGGTTGTTATCTGCGAATGTCAAGGTTGATCGACGAGTGAAGGATCCGGTGCTGAGACGTCGGTTGCCCAAGAAGAAAATTATTCTTCCCGCTCTTCGCAAAAAGTGGTCAAGGAAAGATAAACAGAAATGGGTGGCATCTTCGCAGTCGGGGTTCGATCCGGGTATGTTTTCAGTTTCAGTTCCCTCTGACTCCTCTCCTCCTAAGTTGTGCTCTCCTTCTACTTCTTCTCCTTCTTTGGGGGGGTCGATGACTTCATTGGATCGGGTGATGGGTGGGACTGACATGGTTTCTCAATCCTTGGCACCGGTGATTGAGAAGGACTCGGTTTTGGCTGGAAGGCATGTTGGTGATTCTGGTTATAGGCTTGGTTTCTCTCGGCGAAGTGAAGGTATGGGTGAGGGAATTACGGTTTGTATTGGTCGGGATGTGAAGGTAAAGTTGGATGATGAAACAGCCTCTGTTCTATTGAAAGAGTTACGGGACCACTTGGCTTTAAAAGGCTTTCTTTCTGATTCAGGAGATGTTTTGACAGAGTAGGAGCCTGTTTCACAGTATTGTTCACATTCTTCTTCAGTTCTTGATGATTGGGAAGGAGCTGCAGGTTCATCCCTTGATGGGGACTCGGGCATGATTCCATGGGAAGATTTGGAACAAGCAGTGAATTTGGCTGTCCCTTTGGCTGTTGTTCCACCAGGGGTGAATTGGGTTAGTGACTCGACTGAGGTTGGAGTGAATGACCTTGAGGAGGAGTGGGTGAGGGAGAAGGGCTTGGAAGTGGGCCCTTTGTTGGGTGTTTCTTTTGAAGGCAGGGTGGATGAGGCGATGTGTTTGTTTAATGATGTCCTCAGTTCTCATTTTAAGGTAAAGGTGAGTGATAAGGTGGGGCGGCAGGAGGAGAGAGGGGAGACAATGTTGCAAAGTCCCAATGATGTTATCACATACGAAAGGAGGAATAGGGGGTCCAGATCTGGAGGGAGAGGTGGTGTAAGGAGGGGAGGATTTGCTTTTCCAAGTGTTTCCCTATGAAGCTATAAATTCTCTCATGGAATGTCCGGGGTCTCAATGATCCGGTTAGAAGGAAAGTGGTGAAGTCGGTTATTCGTAAAAGTAGGGGTCATGTGGTGTGTCTCCAGGAGACTAAACTGGCTTCGATGTCTGATAGGATTGTGAGGAGTCTTTGGGGGGGGGGGGGGGGGCGATTTGTGGAGTGGGTTGCTTTGGATGCTATTGGCTCCTCAGGGGGCATTTTGATCTTGTGGGACAACAGATGGGTGTCTAAAGTGGATGCTAAGGTTGGGCATTTCTCTGTTTCTTGCATTCTTGCTTTAGTTGAGGATGGAGTTCATTGGATTTTTTCGGGTGTTTATGGTCCTTCAGAGGACTGTGAGCGCCACTTGCTTTGGGAGGAATTGGGGGAGATTCGAAGTCAATGGTGTTTGCCTTGGTGTATTGGAGGGGACTTCAATGTTATTCGTTCTCCGTTTGAGAGGTTAACGGGAGGTAGGTGGACGTCTGATATGGAGGCTTTCTCGGAGTTTATTGATGAGTTTGGGCTGATTGATTTGCCCTTGGTTGGAGGTCCGTTTACTTGGTCAAGTGGCCGCTCTCCCCCTACCCTCTCTCGGATTGACAGATTCTTGGTGTCAGGGGAGTGGGAGGAGAGGTTCTCTGATGTTGTCCAGATTACTTTAGCACGTCCTATCTCTGACCATGTTCCGTTGATGTTAGATTGTGGGGGACTGTGTAGTAGACGTTCTCCTTTCAGATTCGAGAATATGTGGCTGCGGGCTGAGGGCTTTCTGGAGAGGGTCCGTCTTTGGTGGGAGGGGTATGGTGTGGCTGGCACCCCTAGTCATGTGCTCGCAGGCAAATTGCGTCTTTTAAAGGTGAACCTTAAAACTTGGAATAAAGAGGTCTTTGGGAATCTGGAATGGAGGAAAAATCGGGTCTTAGCTGAGATTGCGGCTATTGACCGGATGGAGGGTCAAGGGGATTTGGTGGAGGCTTTGAAGATTAGGAGGGCGGAGTGTAAGGCGGAGTTTACTGAGATTGCAATCATGGAGGAGATCTCGTGGAGGTAAAAATCTCGAGCCTTGTGGCTTAAGGAGGGAGATAGAAATACTAAATTTTTCCACAGATTGGCCAATGCTCATAGAAGAGGCAATCACATAGGGAGGATTCGGGTTGAAGGGGTTGTTTTTTGTAAGGAAGAAGAGATCTGCAAAGAATTTTCAGAGTTCTTTGAGAAGTTGTTCACAGAGACTGTTGAGTGGAGACCTTTGCTTGAGGGGTTACAGTTTGACTCTATTTTTGAGGAGGAGTGCTTGGGTTTGGAGTTGCCTTTTTCTGAGGAGGAAGTTCTGTTTGCTTTGAAGAGTTGTAATGGGGATAAAGCCCCAGGTCCCGATGGTTTTACCAAGAAATTTCTTTTGGAGTGTTGGGAGGTGGTTAAAGGGGAGGTGATGGGCACTCTTCATGCTTTCCATTCTCGGGGTTCGTTTGAGAAAAACTTGAATGCCACGTTCATTACCCTTATTCCGAAAAAAGGGGGGGCGTTGGATGTTAGGGACTTTCGCCCTATTAGTTTGGTGGGTTGTATCTATAAGTTGATAGCCAAGGTGATAGCTTCTAGACTGAGGAAAGTTATGGATGGCATCATTTCGGATTCTCAAAATGCTTTTGTCGGTGGTCGTCAGATTTTGGATTCAGTTCTTATTGCAAGCGAGTGTGTGGACTCCAGACTGCGTAGTGGGGTCCCAGGTGTTCTGTGTAAGCTGGACATAGAGAAGGCATATGACCATGTGAGTTGGAGCTTCCTTCTTTATCTGATGGAGAGGATGGGGTTCGGTGATAGGTGGAGGAGATGGATTCACTTTTGCATTTCCAGTGCTCGG